GAAGATTCATAGCAGCATGAGTCGATTAATGTCTAGTAGACAGTCTAGCAGACGTGGCTGGATGGCTCAATGACACGGCAATGTCGTCAAATGTCTTCCATAATAGATTTTGTAAACTGGAACAAACCCAAAAAAACCGATCGAAACGTCATCTAACTAAATCGAAAGCACTGTCAAGTCAATAAGAATCCTCATCAAATTTTGCCCTTTGTATATTCATAAATCTGTTTCTCGTGCGGTCGGTAGATAAGTTGGAGTTATGGGCGTAACTGTAATTCATGAAAGTGTAATGTACAATAAAAATTATTGTCTCGAAATATATTATCCTCCCCTAAACCGTAAAAAAAACTCGACTTGATGTATCGGTAACATTTATTTTACTGGATTAGGGGATGATGGATGAGCTTATTCTTAAATTCTGATGCATTTATTTGAGATGTCCTTTGTCATCGAGATGCCTCGACCCTATGTAAACACAAAGAATTTGATTCTGAAGTCTTCGTGATTTTAAGAAAGATTGTTCAGTGTGGCTGTAAATTTAACTGTTAAATGTTAGCTCTGGACTTAAACATCATGTTATAACGGGATCTTCCCTCCACCAAATATTGTAACTTTGTGAAAATGTGAGGCTCTAAGCTATTGATTCGTAACACTAGATCTTCCCCTCTAACAAATAATTTAACAGTGTAAAAATGACGAGTTCGAATCTACAGACCCTGATGACCGACGTCACGCTAAGAGCAATCTAAAAATGTGTGTAATAAAACACACGAAATTTAAAAGTACAACAGGAACGATGACAAATGTATTGTTAAACATTTACACTAGCCAGAAAGGCGAATAATTGTTATAAACGGTGAGCAGTACCAAACCGTATGGTAGCTGACTTATATCCATAGCTTCTTTTAGATGTTCTCGAGCGAGAATGTTTGTTTCTTTTAATTGTGTTCTTGCTCTAACTCCTCTTTTGTTGATTTTATTCTTCGATCTCTTTGTAGCGTCAGCAATATCTTAAATAATTTCTTTTTTACTAGCTCTGATGTATGCCAGTATCTTTGGTAACGTTTCCGCAATCATTCAAAGGTTGTACTCAGGAACAGCACGGTACCACACTCAGTTGTTGAGGGTAAAAGAGTTCATCAGATTTCATCAAATTCCTAATCCTCTTCGTCAGAGATTGGAAGAATATTTTCAGCATGCCTGGACATATACTAATGGGATCGATATGAATATGGTAAGCTGTATTTTTTTCATGTCATTTCCGACCAAACACTTTGCACCACTTACACGCAGCCAGCCTGTTGTCCTGGTGCAACAGGCTGGCTGCGTGGAGTTTTCCGGAGTTTTTTCACGTGTATTAGTATTAAATATGGATTTTTTTCACGTGTCTAACACCCAAATAGGGGGATTTTCTCTTGTTTAACACCTAAATAGGGGCCCATTCCCCCAGTCTTTCTGAGGAGCATACCGCTTGGTAGATTGCCCTTTATTTCTAGGATGATAAGATAAATATATAGATGATCATTTATCAATGATTCACGACAATGAGGATACTCAAAGGTTTGACCATCAAGACGTTCAGGTATCCAGATTAATTCTGGAATTCTTGCTGGCCAAGCCAATATTTTGCTGAACACGCCAGAGATGTTGTAAAGAGACTGCAGCTCATCCTCAAAATTCCTGTATTAGAAAAAGGACGATAAATTATAGCAAAAAATACTACATCTACTAAAAAGAAAACAAGAAAATCCGGTGAAAAAAATAATTTTTTATGATAGAGTAGAGAATCGAGGTGATTGATCTTTCGCCATGTCTCAGCTCATAAATTTGGTTCCTTCTCGTTTATAAATCTTACAGGACAATATTTGTAAATTTCCACTTACCAGAAATGTAACTTTTATACAGAATTAAATTTACATAAGAGTGTGGATGATCAAAGACATTGGAAAGATCACTTGCAATATGTTATGCAAACGCATATTTCATGTGAAGCAATACTTTGTTTCAAAGAAAATGAAGGATTAGACAGGAAATTCGGTTTAAAATAAGAAATGAATATGAAGAATCGTTTTGTATCCGATACAAAAATATTTTAAAATAAAATATCCGATAGCCTGTTCGCATTAGAAAATAACAAAGGTCAAGAAAAACTTCGATTTGACCTTAAGTAGGATTTAACCTCTAAGCTGACAGTCCACTAAAATGAAATATTTCTGTATTCATTCAAATAAAATATAAAACTGTGGCACACATACGAAATATTAATATTTATATTACAAATGTATTTCATTTACAGTGGATTACCTAGTCCATGGTTATATGATAATTTTCTGATATTCTGAAAAAAAAAATCACCAGTATACAGAAGGGGCTTCGCCACACATTTTCCTTCTGGCACACACATTTTTTATTACCTTACAATAAAGATAACCCCAATTACTAGACGGTATACTTCACCTTTCCCTCCTCCTCCTCGCTACCAGTGGCCAAAGTGGATGCAGTAGTCATGGCTTCAATGAGCTGCCACGTGGAGTTTCCTGGATTTTTTTTTACGTTTGTAACGTCTAAATAGAGGCAAGTTTCTCTTAGAAAGTCCTCACCGGAGGCATTCCCCTATGTGTTAGGTTGCCGTAAACAAATAAACTAAACCTCTTAATCATCATCGATTCTTTAAACCCACCTCCTCTTTTCTATATTCGCACCTTCCTGATACTAGAATCATACGCGATTCCTCTTTCGTCTAGTATATTTATACAATACAATTTTAAACTTTTCGTGCAATTTCAGGTGCTGAAAGGTTTCCCTGAGTGTCTTCAAGCAGACATTTGTCTCCATCTGAATCGCAATCTGCTCAATCAGTATCCTGCCTTTAAAGGTGCAAGCCCTGGATGTTTGCGTGCGTTATCAATGAAATTCAAAACAACTCACGCGCCTCCTGGTGACACATTGGTGCATCGTGGGGATGTCCTGACAGCTCTTTACTTCATTTCTCGAGGAACGATCGAAATTTTGAAGGAAGACATTGTTATGGCTATTTTAGGTAAGCGATTATTACTACCCAATTTCCTCGCCACACTCGTTCGACGACCAATAGTATAATTGTTTTTCAGGTAAAGACGATATATTTGGAGAAAATCCCTGTATGTTTCCTACAGTGGGCAAGTCCAGCTGTAACGTACGTGCCTTGACATACTGTGACCTACATAAAATATTGCGAGAAGATTTACTAGACGTGTTGGACATGTACCCAGAATTTTATGATTCATTTTCGCACAATTTAGAAATTACATTCAATTTAAGAGATGTAAGTATTTAAACCAGGTAATTTTTTTTTAAATTAATGCAGTATTATTTAAGTAAACACCATGAAATAGTCAATGCATTCAGGATTTCAATAATTAAAGTTACCTTATTCAGAGCACTCTGTAGCCATAAATAATAAGTGGTTAATGTAGAAGGTATGGTTGCTGTATGTACAAATTCTGCGTGTAGCGTCCTTGTAATCCAAAAAATAATTGTTAAATTGTTTTAAATAAACCGTAACGTTTTCCTAATTGCTGTTTGGTCGTCTACCAAGAATTATTTTTTGGATTACAAGTACGCTACACGCAGAATGGGGCACACGTTGTTCGGGTGTGAAAATTCCTTATATCAGAAAACAACGTCTGCAGAAGGCATGCCCTTGCAGAACGAATGCGTTTTCCCTCTTTCGTTCCCAATACTTTCCTGTAAAGCGCCGCCTAGCGGAAGTTTATTGAACTAACTTTTTTCAAACAAGAAACTTTTTTCTTGCAAAACCCTTTGCCTAGTCTGTATGCATATTTTGGTGTCGACCCGCTTATTGTTTACAGTTACAATGATATGAATGTGTTAGCTTTAATTATGGCCATCCTATACATTTATTAGGGCCTCAAAACAGGCAAAACACTCCATTAGTATGACACCAAAAGGAGTTTTTTTTTAAATAAGAAAACAGGGATGTATGTGCTACATTTATTGTAAAAAAATATACATCTCGGATACATAACATATAGTGCAAAATAAATCTTCCTGTACAGTACTTTATAAAAAAGATACATACAGATCTTCTGATCAGAGGAACCATAAATTCGAAGATTTATGGTTAGAAATGCGTAGATCTGGGATAGGAACGTACAAATTTCCAATTTTTTTCCCTTCAAAACATACCGGAATTTATTAAATTTATTATAGAATAATACATAAAATCCATTAATTTATTGATACTGATAAATCTTTCAGGAGGAACAAGCGGGAGTTGATCCAGAATTATTTCGTAGTAAAACGATATATAGGCAACCAATTAGTTCTCCAGAAGATGGTATATAAAGAGAAACGTATCTTGGTGTTTTCGTGTATTTAATATACTTAAAATATTATTTTATTTTTATTTTTTGCATTTCTAGAAGATCCTAGAATACACGCTTATCAATATCCACGTCCAAGAAGGAAAAGAAGAAGAATAAAAGTACCTTCTACAGATGTTAGTCCTGGTTTCAGTGAAGACGAAGATGACGAAAGGAGGTGTAGTGGTACAGGTATATTAGAATTTTCGCCAGATAAAGCTGGCAGAGACGTCACACCAGCCAATTTAGAATTTGGAAGCCGCGTAGAAGATAAATTACAAACAACAGGTCCTCTACAATCACTCACAGGTATTGTTCTTTCCTGTATTATGTATATATATATAATATAGATAGACCTTTAATATAGTAAAGTGAGGATGCTGTTAGGGAAATTTAAGGCGAGCAGATTAAAAGTAATATTTTTACACTCCTCTAAGCTTTCTGCATGATAAATGTGTGTCTCTAGAAGCTCCAAATGTGTGAATTAATACGTAAACACCCTTAGGAAGGTCTGAACGGGTTTTCTAAACACGTATTGACAATGGATAACACGGTTAAATTTCTCAACACAGTCGATATTCACTTCAATATATTATTTATTCGGCCAGATATAATAATTCTCCTTGTCAAAAATACAAGATGGATTAGGAAATTCGCAGAGATTGATAGGGAACATCAATAAAGAATGGCATTACTTAACCAAGGATTGGGAATGATTTATGAAAGCCATCTTCGACAGAAACCCCTAAATTGAGACATGCAACAAGACTTTGTTTCCCTAAATATTGATACAATTAATAAATTTCATAATTAGTGCAGGACTTAATGATGTTTTAAATGTCACTATACAAAGCCTGTAAGTGATACATGCACAATTATGGAATGCACTATTGCTTCTTTACTGATACGAGGGGGTTGATTACTTATGGCCTTCTGCACTAATTTGCATTTCAAGTTAATGATTTCAAACTCGTTTGTCTATTGTTCTTAGTTAGAAGTTAAAAACTCTTAGTTTAAATGTTGCAAAGTATTGTTCTTAAAGTGTTTACTCACACTTCTACTTTAAGAACCATACTGTGAAAGTTTTATACTCATTTAAATAGTTTATAAAGCAGAAGCAAAGGAGGAAACAATTTTTACAACAAGCAAAATTAAATAATTGATTCACCAGTTTGAAAAGTAATCTAAAATCTTATATGAAATTTCAAAAAAGAGAGAGAAATTTTCAAAAAATTTGAAAGTGATAGCAGTTATCTAACTGATGATATCACAAAAGAAGATTTTTATTGGAATATTTTTAGAGATTAACACTCCTTTTTATAGAAAACTTAAAGAAAAAATATGCAAAAAAATTGTTTTTGAATGACCTTTCATTTTGGAAAATTTAGAATGAATTTTTAGAAAAAGATAACAAATTCAAGTCTAGAAAACATAATTAATCATATAAATCTCACCAAATCTGAGAAATTAACAGAAGAAAACAATACAATACCCAAATAATCTAAATCAATAAAAAGCTTACTAAAAACTCAAATTTGGAGTAAAATTTCCTCACAAATCAAGTTTATTATTCATCACACACATCAAAGAATTCTATAAATACTTGAATCTTTTAAAATGAAATAGTTATTAAGTGCATTACAGATAATATCAGATAATTAGTCGGAGTGGACATGAACATAATCAATAATGCACAAGCAGCTACATGGCCAGAACAGTTCTAGTCATCTGATAAGTTCTATCAATAGATGCAAGGTTACCTACTACGGTACGTATCATGTAGAAAGTAACCATTACCGGCATAAATTATAAATTTGATGAAAGTAATTGCTTATATAATCCTGATGGAGGGAGAATTACATAAGTATATATGCTTAAACCCACTTCCAGCAATGTCAAAGGTCATATAGAAGCATATATTTCATACTAAAGTATCCGTCGTCGACATAAGATACGAATTAAATTGCTTGCCAGATCTTTGTGAAGGAGGAATTACATAAGTATATAAGTTTATAACCCAAAAGAGGCATAATTTTCATCGTTAGAGTGAACAATAATATATGAGAGTGTATATTATGCAGAAAGTGCCAATTATCTGCATAAGACATGAGTTCCATCAAGATAATTGCTTATAAAATCCACATAGAGAAGGAATTACACAAGTTTATACCCTTATAGTCACATCAAAGCAGTGTCAAAAATCATGCAGAGCTATAACTTTCATCATTACAGTAGTATAAAGTAGAAATTAATATATGGAATGATCTATATGAAATATATATTATATAGTAAGGTATCTATTACTGGTATAATAAACATAAATTTGGTTAAACTGCTGCCTACAAAATGCAGTGAAAGAAGTAAGGTATATACTTATAGTCACCCGAAGAAGAAGAAGTATAATTTTCATCATTAGAGGGGCAACAAAGTGGCAATTTTCTTAAAGAAAGTCTATAAAATGTCGAACGAATGAATGCAAACAATTGGAGAATTGACTTTTGAAAGGCTGAAAATATTCGAGTTATTAACGTCGCCGCCTTTTTTAAAATTCCAAATTGGAATATCAATAGAATTAATTAAAGTTCTGAAGACGGAGAGGAAATATTCGGATAATTTTAGAAAAAAACAAAAGAAATTTAATTTTTTCATCATAAAATTTTTATGAGAATTAAATTCTTTTTTAAAAAAGAGGATTAAATTAAAATTTGAATAAGTCAAAATTAAATTAAACAAGTTTAGAAAACTAAAGGTGCGTTTCTTCGGCCAGTTAAAAGGTCATTAGAAGAATGAAAATTGCAAAAAATAAGTCTTGAATTCTCTTTTTTAATATAAAAATTTCACTTTTCTTAATTGATTTTTAGGGGGGGAAGAATTTTTAGAATTAAATTAATAAGATACTTAATTTTAACAGCTTTTAACCAGATTGAGAAATTCTATCCAAACATTCTCTAATTTATATGTCACTTAAGTCTATTTTCTTCAGTAAATTATTAAAATTAAAGCTTTTATGATTATTATTATTATTTTTTTTTTTCATATTAAAAATTCTTTAAAATTGAATTTTACCTTATTTTTTAACTAATCTTTTGCTATAATTTCATTTTAATCTTCCTTTTTTTTTAATGCAATATCTATAATTATAAACCAAGCTTGTTTCCTTTAACAACTCTAATTCCTAATTACATATATTAAATTAATATAAATATTTTAATTATTATTAATAAAAAAAAATGTTAAATTCTTATTTATTAAGCAACACACTTGCACAGTTTCATTTCTTTCACAGTTAAGTCACATTCACTAGTAATTTCATTGCTTCTTTACACTTCTTCTCAATGTAAATCTGCATATAACTTGCAAGAATATCATTAAAATTAACTGCTAAGCTGGTTTTAAGGCAGTTTCTTAGTAAATTTAATGATTAAACACAAAACTGAAAAACTATGTTTTTAATTAAAGGACTGTAAGCAATTAATTTCTGCTTGTTAAACAATGCTAGCAGCTAAATTAACATGCAGTATTGAGCATATTCGACCATTAAATCAATAAAGAAACTGTAATAATAGATTAAAAGCATGCTAAAGGCTTCAGATAGATGCAACTTGAAAAAACTATTAGGCTGCTTAAGCTGAAATCCAGTAGTTAAAAAGGTGCCAGGAGCTTATAATATAGTTCTACAGAGCTTAAAATTCTCTAAAAATGCTAAAATCTTGGCATACCTAAGCTTAAAATCAGAGAAAATTAAGCAAAATGGCTATCAGACAAGCAAAAAGATTGTTTTTTTTTTATTTTTTTTTTACACACCCACACAGATATTTAAGTAAAATCTTATAAAGTATATTACTTTTTGAGGGTTTGTAACAGGCTAAATTGGTCTTTAATAACGATTAACAGGATTTTTCAACAGTTTAAAACGAAGTTTATCAGATCTGAAAATGTCCAAAACTGAAGTGAGAACTGGTAAGCTTATCCTATTTGTGTTTGTGCTTTATATATGTATGTTATTTTGCATGATTTTGCATATTTTATGTTAGTTTTAGTTAATTAAAAACAAGCTTGGAGTTTTGTGATTATTTTGCAGAAACATTTAAAAAAAAAAATAGTAGTGAATGTTTTTGTGAGATTTTCACCCACTGAAAATCTTACAACAGTAGTTTTAGTGAAGAATTGTATTAATAATTCAACACTTCTATTCAATTTCAGGGAGTTGATGGATCTGCCTTTTTTCCCCCTTCTTTAAGTTAATAAAATATTCATATAAGACTATAAATTTTTTAAATAATAAATTTTTAAACATTTTTCTGGATTTTTTTTTTCATAAAATGTTAATTTTTCAGAAGTGCAAACTCTCTTCAAAATTTCATTAAAAAAAGTAAACCAATTTAGACTAGTTACAAGAGAAAAAAATGCGCAATTATTCATGTTTTTTAGGTGTGTTTAGTGTTCTAATTAATGCTAAATGTGCTTTTTTGTAGGTGCTTTAACTACAATAACTAATGTGACGACGGCCATCGCTGGTCCTTTAATAGAAAAGGAAGAAAAGGAAGAGACTCATTCACCGTCCTGCGAACTTAAGGAACGTACACCGTTGTTAGATTCGGTGGAACCAAGTACGTTACTTTATTACGTCACATTACGGGGTGGCTTCGAAGTCCCGTTACTCCCATACATTCAAATTGGGATCGTCAATGACATCATAAAAAAGCATCCTGTAGCATTCAAGATACGATCCTGTTAATCAATTTGGCATAACGGGACTTTGTGGCCCTTTATAAGAAATTATACCTAATTTCTTATAAATTAATGCTCTACAACAAAGTAGACATTTCCACGTAAAAAATATACAAAAATTGTATTCGATTAGAATGGCAATTTTTTTTTTTATTTTGCTCGACTTCTAAGCACGTTTATGCCCATTGAAATAGTTACAACACTTCAAAATGTATAGTGTAGTTTAGTGGGAGACACGAAAACCCTTACAATAATACTAGTAATAATAAATAGAGACTGGAACGATGATAAGACTCAAAATTTCCACCATAAAAAGTAAATTTCGCTTAGTGTAACACAGAAATACACTTAAAGAAACATAAAGTATACCCTCGATTAGTCGGTCTTTCGCCTTATCCGCTGCTAAGCTTTTTTCTGAATTTTCAAAAATGCTTCGACTGAAAATTCTGAGCACAAGTATTTTACTCAGCTTCCAATTTCCTTTCTATTTATAAAGAGATATTCACTGGGAAACTTTTTATTATAGCGTTAATATACGCGATTTAAATAACTTGCATGCTTTATATATTTACCTATCCCATCCTAAACCTCTAAGTTCCACCCCTCTTAATTTAAGCTCCAGCAATTTTGTGTCTTGAGTTCGGTCAATAAATGTACATTTTAATTGCCATTGTGTTTGTCACCCTAACCAATCTCTACCTCCTAAAAGACCCCAGCAACACACCTAGTAATTTAATAGTCACTTGAACGTCACTGGTAACTTGAATATTTTGAAAACGATTGTTGACCGTGTTCGATCGTTCTTGACCATTGTATTTCATATATGCTCGATTAAGTAAGGAAATTTATATTCCTTTTACATTTAAATTCTATCATTTAAGTTTATCCTTAGTATCCTGGCAAATACTGCTAAACAATTGTGAATTTTCTGACTAGAAAATCGAAATCATCTTCTTCTTAGTCGCCATGTTTGATAATATGACGTCGGCGTTTCGGTACAACTTATTGGCTCCGTTATACAAACAACCGCTCCGATTGTCTACTGTTATCAGCTTATTTTTATAACGAAGGCTTTAAAATTTAAGCGCATACTTTTGTTAAACGGACGGCGCCATTTTCTTTTGTATTTATATCAATTCTTTTCGGTATATAAAGCAGTAGATACATTTATAATTATTTTTATTTTCCAGTATCGGGTGCCGGTTCGCCAGTATCTGTCAAAGAGAGTGCGAGTCCTAAAAAGAGCGAACAGGTATCGAGTTCTGTGTCACATCCAGTGACTGAAGGTCAAAGGTCTAGGTCAGGTCCAAGTCGTTTTACCTCCACCACTAGCAGTTCTGCGGTCAGGACATCCAGCAGTGGAGGTCCAAAGTCCAGTTCCAGTATGACCATCCCTTTGTCAGTTAGTTCTAGTAATGTGGCCAGTCCAGGTGAAGACGCTTCTTTCCACCCGCCTTATTCTGAAAGACAAGATCCTTACTCGGTCGAAGCTAGGATAGATAGTCTCAGCAGGTAAGTCCTCCTCTTATCCTTTTGCAAAATATGTGAAAAACATAAAGGGGAAGTCGATTCGGATTAGGGTTTCTGAAACGGGATCCCGGTTGTTTTTTTAACCCGGGAAATTTTTCTTATCCCGGGAAATCCCGCAAATTTCTTAAAAATTCACTTTTTTCTTATTTTGTGTTAAGGTTGAGGAGTTTTGCAAATAGAAAGCATAATTAACTCATTCACTGCCAGAATACATTTGTATTTATTAATTTTAAACCTACCTATTAGTTTTTTTAAATTTTTGCTCGTTATAGCATGTCACAAATGGTCAATAATCAATATATAGCTTATTTGTGGCATGACTATAAAAATTCTTTACTTGTCGGAACCTGTAATATCTGGAATAATTGTGCTTACGCTGTCTTGAGTTTTAACCATGCCCAGTAGCTTCAATAAATGCCTGACGCCAGATTGTGCAAATTGGGCAAGGATACAAACGAGTACAAAGTCTGCAAGTATGAAGTTTTTCTTCATAAACCTGATTATTAAAGCCAAATGAATTGCCGAATTATCGAGCTCTAAGCTTGATGCCGCTATTAAAGCAGCCAAGGTAGACAAATCAAGAATACTAGAGAGCGAAAGAAGTACTACAATCTCGAAAACGAACTCGAAAGCTTCCAGGCTACAGGTGAAAAAACACATAATATCTGTCTTCTCTTAAATGCATTAAACACTATTCCAATCACATCAATTGAATCGGAAAGGGCATTCTCGGTGGCAAGACTTTTCATTACTAAAATAAGAATTAGAGTGAGTTATCGGAGTATTGACCATCTTTGCTTTTTAAAATCTTATAAAAGTTTGCAATATTTTGTATTATATTTTATTTAAAAAACGAAAATTACCTTCTAAATTAGAAGTTCATTTTTTTAATTTTTAACTCAATTCAAAACATTTTTTTTGTTGTTGTTGTATGCAGTTTCCAGCAAACTTTAATTAATTTTTTTCTATTTGTGAAAATTTCTACGTTATTTAAAGGTAATTTTTATTATAGGCCTATAGACCTTACACAGCATTATTAATATGATTTTGGAGGTTACAGAACTTTAAAATTACTTTAAAAAATGGAAAATAATTATATCATTTGATTTCAAGATATTTTGTATACCTTAAAAATAATTAATTCTATCCCGGGATTTCCCGGGATCCCGGGAAACAGTTCACTTTTATCCCGGGATCCCGGGACAAGCAAAATACCGGGAAATGAGAAACCCTAATTCGGATCATCGAACTGACAAAATTGGCACACCACTTCCTGTTCATTCTTACTCTACTTTCCTCCTCTTAGCGCGATTACGGCATTTCTTCAGGTAAATTTAGGTTTCTCTGAAACAGATACTTACTTCGGGTTTTCAACCTACAATTACTATTTAGTTATTGTATAAGCCACAGGTAGCCCTCGATATACGGGACTTATTCGTTACATCGAGTAAATGTATCAATAGGATACAATGAATATTTCGATTCAAAGTACCAAACGATTATAGTACCTGTCGTTATTTAGAAACGACATGAAGAATAAACCATTGCGATAACACTTATAAATACTGTATGCTTAAATTTCTATTTTATTGTCGAGTTACATTCATAAGAATTCAAAATACATCTCTATTTCTTATTGGCAACGGGGATATAACAGAGAAAACACTAGAATATCCTCACTTGTTTTGCAATAAACATAGATAAAATATAAGTGAGATTTCATCACGTTCCGCATCTAAACCGAATAGTATTTTTAAAAAAGGCGTTAATTTCGGCGAATGTGTCTTCGAATGTAAAATTATTATAAAAAAACGAACGTAAACAGTATTTCTCTTTTGGAAATCCCATATTACGGATGAAATACTTTCTCTGTCATGTCAACCAGAAGAAAAAATATCATACGACAAGCATTTTATCAAGACTTAAGAAACAGAAATCCGGAGAGAGGATTTCTGTTTATTACTAAATCAATAAAATTCCAATATAATAGACTCTAAACTACAAGGATTTTCGCAGAAAGCGAGTACACCGACTCTCCACACGGGAAGATTTTCTGCTGCAATATATGATTTGTCATAAAAAAAAAAAAATAAATATTTCTTTCGCTGCTTTCAATTGGGAGATAATCGAGTGACGAAACACGAAATTTTACTGACGTAATTTGTCTTTACAGTCTGATTACACGCGTATTATAATTTTCTCGTGTTCTTCCAGACGTCATCGCACGTGATGTCCATTGAAAGTTAACGTGGAGACACTCTAAAAACACTTAAATCGCTTTGAGGCAATATATTTATTGCTTATTATGTTATAAATAGTAATTTGCATACTTCTACTAAATTTAGGGAAATGATACGGAGGAAATGCTGTTTATTAACAGTAAGGGAAGAGTAATTTGGCCTTAAAAGAGGTGGACTTAATTCAAAAACTTACACTAGTAGAATTATGCGCATTTATATGGAAGCCCTTCTAGATTTAATACTGCAAATCAGATTGCAGCTAAGAAATTATATGTTCCAAGAGTATAGGAAGAGGAAATCAACGTACGAAATTTCGGCATTTAATAATTTTTTCGGAGATCCAAATAAACAGTCTGCTCTCTCGCTCGATATTTTAGAATCTGGAGATGACCTTGACCTAATTTTCGAGTCACGGGATCGTTAACATTTTAAATTGGAACGAATTTTCTTTTTCCCCACTACCGGTTTTGCATGAAACAATTGTCGAATCTAAGAGGGAGGAGGAATATTATTACCGAGAACGACACGCGACTAATGTGAAGCAGTAAATTAATTCCCCGTTAACGAGAATTTTGATCGAAGATTTTCTGTTTATTTCGCTGCATGGTCATTTCCAACGAGTTCGAAGTGTGAGGTGGTGCCTCGTATAATATTTCACAATTTCAATTATCGAAAATTAAATGGAAATCTTAGTGCCCATTGGCCAATTCAGCACCACGTGTTAAGTGCAGAGCGACTTCATTGACGGATTCGTCTTGTTTGACGTGTATTGCGGCAAGTGATAGTAGTACTTCCGGCATATTTCGCCCCATTACGCGCCTGGACGTGTAATTTAGCCATTCGGCCCGATATTAATAAGTTATAATTTGCAGGCAGATAGAAAACATAGAAAATCGACTGACGGCGGATCTTCACGCCATCATGCAAGTGTTGAGTCAACTGTTCGAAAGCAACCAACCTCTCCCCTTATGCTCTCATTTGCCAATGGACTCGACGTCGTCGTCCTCGACGGATCTGCCTTTCGACGGGCCCGCCAGGCCGGTATCGGTACAACCGTCCGCGGCAGACGGTGTCAGAACGCGCCTGTACCGCCGGGCCATCAGTCTGCAAGGTGCACCCCTAAGTTCCGAAGGAAGTACTTTCAGATCCGCTTCAAGGAGTTTGGATATAAACGGGTAAGGAGGAAGCGTCGCTCTTTACCACCCATCAGGTAAGCACCCATTTTACTGAAATCCAAAAAAACCAAACTATTTGTGATTTCTAGTAGGACGGGTACGCAGGAGGAGTACAGTATTTCCTTACGAGAAACTAACAGACCTGAAATTATCCTTCCTCACTCGACTACAGTCCCTCCAACGCCCCTTGCCGAACATCCCCATGATCCTATACGCAGCATGTCCCAACCCGCAGATCTTTCACAGGTACCACCACCGAAATTACTACTGTAGAAATGACTAATTCGACATTATATGGCACTGATTGCACTCGATAATGAGGAATGGAGTTCGGGTCAATGGACAAATATTAAAAGAAACCAACGAAGTCGAGAATTTTGTATTGTTTTGGGATTAGGTACATGGCAACCCGGAAGAAGAGGGCACGTGCTACGATGTACAGTACGGGCGCAGCTGATGGCCTCCCGGTTTAAGTAAGGCGCTAGATAACCCAGGTATGCTCATCCGCCATGTTGGTCCTTAGAAAGCTGACGACTCTCGTAGAAGTTCAATAGAAGAGACACGAAAATAATCATAAATTCAACTGTATCTTAAGATTTTGCAAGGTCGAAATGATAAACTTTGCCAAAATTTAGTTCAACTAGTTATAAAATACAGCTAAATTTAAAAATCTTGGAATATGACGTCAAAAGGACCAATATGGCTGCACACGTGACGGAAGCGTATGAGCATACCTGGGTAATCTAGCGCCTTAGTTTTAAGGGGGTGGAAATTCCGTGCGTGAATAATGTCGCCTTAGTCATTTCGGCGCGGAATTACGGTTTGCCAGTAGGAAACATGAAGGCCCAAATTTTGAATTTTGCAGTACCAGCCGAGATACAGGAATAGCAGGTATGGAAAGTACTCATCGGATGTAACCGAAACTCGCTTCACCAAACGGGAAGATTCGAGAGAGAAGAAGAGTGACTCTCTGTCGCCATTGGGTGGCACGAGAACGTCGTCGACCAAGGAGACGGACATCAGTGCCTCTACGGATGGCGGAAAGAGCTGCAAAGAGGAAACAAGCAAACGCTCGCAGGGAAGAGATTCCAAGACGTCTGATGTTTAAAAAAATACACATGTACAGTTGGTGCCTGCATTTTATTTTTATATACAATACCGATGGAAGAATACAATGACCGACATCCGGACATTCTCGATTAAAATAAGCAACGTGTGTTTGTGTGTTTGTTTGTTTGCGTGGAGTCAAATGTTCGGGAGTACGGAAGAGAGAGAGAGAGAGAGAGAAAGAACGAAAGAGAGAGAGAGATTGGATGAATTTTTACATTCCTAAAACAATTATTTTTTCCAGTTGGTTTTTATGCATGTGTTTAAATCCATTCCTTACGCTTAACTGTGACGTAAAAAAATAATGCATCAGAGATTTTTTTTAAATATTGGAATGGCTAAAGGAACATTGCAGCTAAGATTGTTTTATGCAAATGTTATGTATGTGTCAAATTTTACTTTTTTAACATGTACATAATTTTTCTTGTGATAGATCCACACAGTCTGAACATATATCTGTATTTATACAGTATATATATATATATATATACTTACATATATACAGAGTTTGTACAGTTTTAATGTCTTGGAAATCGTTCTAATCTTTAAGGAAAACAAAAACCGTCGAGAAAAATATTAAAAAATATATTGTGAATGCTTAAAAAAACACACAAAAAAGAAAGTTTTGTTTGCTCTTGTCAGAATTCTGCTCTTATTGTTACAATGGTAAATTGCAAGTTTTAATATTGTTTCTTGTTTTATGTTTATCAAGTGCCTATCAGTCGAACCAGATGTCAAAATATAATATAAGATATATATAACATATATATATTGTGTGTAAGAGGCGCTGAACACGTGGAGTGGCTTTGTGCCATACTTGTTACGGTCATTGAGTACTCAGGGAGATTGAACAAAAACCAAAATATGACACCAAAAAATTAAAAAAATATATATATAGAAGAAAATTATTTAAAAAAAAAGCTATATAAATGAATTAGGTATCAATATGTATATATTGTATGTGTACATGTACGGATAGGTACATCTGTGTATGCTATTCACATCTGCACAAAAAAACAAAAATGTTATAGAGTTAGAGCTTCTGGAATTTTCAAAAAAAGAAAAAGAAAAAATTGAAGCTGAAAATTTCCTTTCTGGCCAATCAAAGAAACTGATTTTTTAAAAGAGAGCAAATTCACAAAATAGGAAAACAAGAAAATAATAATAATAATAATATAAAGCAAAACAGAAATTTCTAGCCATAGAATAGAGGAAAACAAAACAATAAGTAGAACCTTGTTTCTGAAATTACTAAATGTTGCATACATAATTTTTGTACTAAAACCCCAACAAACAGCATAATAATAATACTAAATAATAATAATAATTCCTGCAAATTTATATTTATTATTTATTCGAAACTATCCATTTATTAAGTGTATATAATGTATATAAATCTTTTTAATATTTTCAGATTATTTATTAAATCCTAAAGAGAAATAATGTAAAGTATTTATTAATCCTTTTATTAAGTTATCCCGTAATTTTCGAGGGAGGATTTGGGCCCTCGGATCTAGGATCTTCGATCTAGACATAAACACGTGCACGTTAAAGGGGCTGTCGTTTCGAATTGTTCCAAAGATTTTTTTGTGGATAGAACTTTATAAAAAAGAAGACAAATTAATATTATTATTAATAATATATATTGATAAGCTGCCTTGAATTAATTGAATTACGTTTAGTACAAATGCGAAAGGGCGTAAGACGTTTCTGTTGATCCTTGCACTGATACGCTTTTTATAGTCGAATTTGGGGGACGGGTGCCCGTGTGTATATATAAACAGAGGAGGATTTTAAGCACGTGATAAAAAAAGACCCCCCCAAAAATAAAGAGAGCGTTTCTCGAGGCCTGCATATATACATATATAAATAAATATAAAAATGTTATTATCCAAATTCCATCCGTTAATGGTGTAGTAAAACAAAACAAGAAGGTAAATCTACCTGTATCTTACCTGTTTCTGCCTTTTTTTCTGTTTAGCTTTTGGCACTTAAGAAATTAAAAAAAAATAATAAAAATAAAAAAAATATCTTGAAATTTTTCTTGCAAAATGTAGTTAACAAAACAGCACTTTATTCTATAATGAATGTACATAGATTCTTTCGGAAAACGTTTTTATACAACTTGTTATATATTCTATTTTACACATTTTTTGTACAGATAGTACTTGATTTTAGAGCTAAGAGCATTAAATGAAAAAAATAAATAAATAAAATAAAAAACCATTGTCAATATTTGCAATTTATCGGGATCTCGATATTTTAAATTTGGTTTATCGAATACGATTTAGCTATGTTTAAGTTGGATAATATAATTTATTATTTCAATATGTGACACGGTTATGTAAAATAAATAAAAGTTACCTATGCAATGTTTTGTTTGTGCTTACTGATCACCAATATTTTTTTCTTCTGCACTCTGCTTAAAATTTACACACAAAATCTTGTGAGGTGTTGTGAGATATTACGACTCGAAATGTGAGAAGCTGGAAATATAATAATGCATTCCGCAAGGAATTTCTATTGATTTAAAATCGTACAAGAGTTCGCCATTTTTGAATAAATACTTTTATTCAGGAATAACTGATTTCCTCTTTTTTCTCAAAAACATTATTTGTTTAAATTAAACATAAACTGCTTTATTGAAGTCAAAACATTTAAAACATAACACAATGTCCTTAGTTAATATTACAGCATAAATTTTTAGGGAATCAAAATGCCAAAAATTGCTCTGTTTCTATCTTGCCTGAAAGCAAAAAAAAAAAATATCTGTTTCTTGCTTGTTAAAAAAAGTCCTTAGCAAGAGATCAGAGTTTTCTTTCTATTTAAATAAGGTGCCAAGTTTCATTTGTTTTCTGAAACATTCTTACTAGTTAGTAATGACACAGCAGAGGGAGATTAAGGAAAAACTATACAAATTTTCCAAAAATAATCATTTCAATAGAAGGAAAGAAATAAAATTGGTTTTAAAAAATTCAGTTTTAAAATATAATTAGCCTGTTGATACAAATTTCTCTGCTCTAGGACATCCTACTGCATTTAAATTTATCTTTTAGTTCCAATGGCTACTACTATCCACATTAGTTTTGGACTTTTCGGGTTCGTCATTATGAAATAGAAACAAAACCCAACCACAAAACTAACAGAAAATTTTAAAACAACTTCCCGAGAAATTCAGTTTACTATTTTAAATTCGACACAACAGTATGTTTTACACAAACTTTTGAAATGTCTGAGTGTATTCCCTTCGTAACATGGTAGAATCTTGCCAATTCGGCGCTTGGCTTCTCCCGCACCGGCCAGTTTTTAACATTGCCAGATTAACAAGATTCTATTCCAATTTTCTGTTTACGGTAGTTCGATGATTAATTTTAAATATTGAAGTTATATTCTGCTAGCAGAGTATGGTTGTGAGGATATATGAAAGATTGTGTCTATAGAGGAGGCATATGAACTCTGCCTGAATTGAAAGCAAGCATAATACACCATATTGCTGCAATTTCTCAATAAATCTATAGGGCTACTGTTGAACACGCTGTAAGGCGCTTTGAATATGATTGATGCAAATGGATTGCACATTGAACAAATTTCGTGAATAAAAACCTTTTGCATATTTCCATTTTGTTTCTCTTGTTCTTCATGCGCCATTTTTTCACCTAGTGGTAGAAATTTGAACTAATTATTTTTTTGCATTTTCCTTTTCCCCATGGTTCATATAACATATATACCAAGTTTCATCAAAATATGTCAACAAGAATGGTCTCTATACAGATCTGAGTAGGGCAACTTTAATTATAACCACCCTGTACATTATATTTTAATTTAGAATAATATAAAAATACAAATATTCAATTGTAAAGTTAATTTTTAAAATATCCAATTCCTAGAGAAACAAAGTGTATATATTTAAGTCTAATTAATTTAATACCATTTAGTAGGTCCTGTAAAAGGAAGAAATATGCAAGAAACAAAGCAAAACAAAAGGAAAATTGAATAAAGTAAGAGGAGACAAAGCAAAATATTTGTTGACAAAGTTTATTTGCGGGGAGTCACTAAGTTTAGAACTTAAATTTTATTTTTATTGTTAGCTGTTTTGCACAAACACTTGCCAACTTCAATAATAGGAAAATAGTAATAATGAAAATACTCTGTGTAATTTTAAGGTAACACTTTAATTTAAGTTACTTAATTTCATTTTTTCAGCGCTGTTGCTAATTAATGTGTGTGAAAGATAAACAACATATGATAAATTTATAAAGTTTGAAATGATGAGATAAATAATTTTTTTTTAGAATACAGAGAGATTAGAAAAGCCAAGAAAATAATTTACATTCTATAATGTGCCAGTACCTTTATTATGTACACCATAAGGAAAAAAGTAAGCATTACTACTAAAGTTCTGATTGAGTATAGTATGAAAGTAGAAATTTCTCTCTCTTTTTATTCTAATACACATTGTACTTTGACTAAACTACACTCACTGGCCAATGAATTAGAAACCCCATGCATATTAAGTAAATGTAATTTTCCAGCTTATATGCAAAACACTTGAGTCATGTGAGTTACCACTTGTTCATAAACTCCTACTTATGAATGCTGTTGGTTAGTATGGTCATTAAGTGTATGAAAATGGGAAAAGCGAAGGACTTGATGGAGTTTCAAAAAAAAAAAAAAGCTGATTGTGGATGCCTTTCTTGCTGGAGCCATGATATCAAGAATTGTAGAGCTGACTGGTTTCTTCAAAGATGAAATATCATGAGTGTTCAGTCAGTGAAAAAGTAACCCACAGTTGATGTCTAAAAGAAGTAACTGTGGCTCCAAAACAGTTAATCAGTAATGAGATAGACATTGTCTAAAAAAGCTAGTGCAGAAAAAAAGGATATCCTCTCTGCAGCAACTGACAGACTACACAAACTATGTGCAGGAAACTGAAAAACCACTGATTTCTGCAAAGAATCAGAATGTTCATCTACAGTGGTACCAAGAGCACCATGATTGGACATCTGAGAACTGGAAAAAAGTAATGTGGTCAGACAAATCATGGTACACCTTATTCTGTACTGACAGTAGAGACAGAGGGTTTGGAGGTAGACCCATGAAACAATGGACCCTGCTTACCTCATTAACACAACTCAAGGTTCTGGTAGGGTGTTATGGTATGGGGCATGTTCTGTTGGGAGGAAACTGGTCTGCTGATATTCCTGGAATGTTGGGTGACTTCCAACGAGTACCTGAACATTATTGCCAATCAAGTTCATCCTGCAACATTGGATTTTTTTTTCTTGCATGTGATGGTTCTTTCTTTGATGACAATGCTACTGTCCATTGCACAAGAATTGTTCAGCAAGTGGTTCACAACCCACCCTGGCCACCATAGAGCCCAGATCTTAACTCCATTGATAATGTATGGGACATGTTAGAATGACAGACCTGCCAGCAAAGTCCACTTCTGTCAAATCTATGCAAACTAAAGGAAAGTCTAGTGAATGCATGGTGTGCATTGGACTTACAAGCACTTCAGCACCTTGTAGAATCCATACCAAATTGAATAAATGATGTAATTCAAGCTAGAGGTGGTCCAATAAAATACTAAATTGCTGTTTCTAATTCATTGGCCAATGAGTTTAGTTATACTTTTTACATTTTTCACACTGCCCACAGAGCCTTCTTCCAGTCTTCACTGTGGGCTTGGCAGTCCTGCAACAGGTGGAGGAAACTAACCACGCACGAAAAACTCCTGGGATTTTAACTGGGTCTCAGGGAGGTCGACAAATAGTATCTCTGTCCTTATTGTTTTTTAAAGTGTTGAAATATCTTGGCGTTAAAATCTTGTAATGAGATTTGCTAAAGTGTATTAGAAAGCTACCATATTATGGTCACTTTCTAATACACTTTAAGTGACCACCGAATGTGATATCCAAAAGACACACAAATTATCTGCCGTAGAAGATAAAGTAACATTTTCTGTTTTGCCAGTAACAGAGACAAAAGACATAATTAAGCATAATTACTCTTAGTTTTTCCAAGTATTTAAATGAGTATTTAGAATTATAATGGTTCTTGCATCAATTATTTGAAACCTCTTGGAATTCTTGATTCAAGACCAATTTCAGAAACATTTTATGAAGATGTTTCTGAATTATCCTAAAATTCTAAATTCTCGTCCCTCATGGAATTTTATTGCATGCTAAACAAAATGCCTTTGTTAATCTCTTAAAATTATACCCATATAATACAACACAATACAAATTAAACATATAATTGCACAAACTAACTTACATTTAAAAGAATTTTTAAAAAGTTATTATTTTAACACTTTTATTGGTCAGTTTTTAAGATTAAAGGTGGGAGTGGGACTGCCACCACCCTATACATCACCACTACAATGGATTTAACACACATTTGCATGGTTATGTTTATCCAGTTTTGGAGGATGGCAGGGGTGACATCACGCCTCTAAAATGACAATAAAACTTATCATCACGGGTACGTCCTCAAAATTTCTGCCTTCTATTTTAAATTAGTTGACAAAATTCCAGTTGCAGGATCCAAGAACTGGATACAAAGCAAGTAATTTATGTTAAAGTAAAATAAGTTAACAGTATTTAAATAAGAGTGTATAATATTATAAAATATAAAGAAATAGCTAACTTGTATAGAATNCATACCTGGGTAATCTAGCGCCTTAGGTTTAAGGGGGTGGAAATTCCGTGCGTGAATAATGTCGCCTTAGTCATTTCGGCGCGGAATTACGGTTTGCCAGTAGGAAACATGAAGGCCCAAATTTTGAATTTTGCAGTACCAGCCGAGATACAGGAATAGCAGGTATGGAAAGTACTCATCGGATGTAACCGAAACTCGCTTCACCAAACGGGAAGATTCGAGAGAGAAGAAGAGTGACTCTCTGTCGCCATTGGGTGGCACGAGAACGTCGTCGACCAAGGAGACGGACATCAGTGCCTCTACGGATGGCGGAAAGAGCTGCAAAGAGGAAACAAGCAAACGCTCGCAGGGAAGAGATTCCAAGACGTCTGATGTTTAAAAAAATACACATGTACAGTTGGTGCCTGCATTTTATTTTTATATACAATACCGATGGAAGAATACAATGACCGACATCCGGACATTCTCGATTAAAATAAGCAACGTGTGTTTGTGTGTTTGTTTGTTTGCGTGGAGTCAAATGTTCGGGAGTACGGAAGAGAGAGAGAGAGAGAGAGAGAAAGAACGAAAGAGAGAGAGAGAGATTGGATGAATTTTTACATTCCTAAAACAATTATTTTTTCCAGTTGGTTTTTATGCATGTGTTTAAATCCATTCCTTACGCTTAACTGTGACGTAAAAAAATAATGCATCAGAGATTTTTTTTAAA